CTTAAGAACAAACAAAGCAGCAATAGCAACAGCAACAGCAACAGCAGCAGCAACAAACGAAGCATCAATGGTAGCAGCAACCGCAGCAGCGGCACCACTGCGCCAACAATCTTGAACAACACGATAGCAGCGTCGAGCTCTGGCATTCGCCTGAACAGCCCCAATAGGATAACGATAACGCGACGCAGCGCCAGCAACAAGATTAGCGTGCAGACCGTGAGTGCCTCCACGAATACGACCATCAGCAGCATCGGTGGCAGCAAGACCAACTACATTAAGAACTGTCTAATACGCAGCAGCAGCTGCAGCAACACGGCCACCAATGTCACGACGCTGGCACAGATTATGAGCAACAGCAGCACCAGCAGCGCCGCCAGTTTACTCAGTCAGCACAACAACAACAGCAACTGCAGCAACAGCAGCAATTTCAGCAACGCCTCGTCCGTGGGCAGCAGCATTAGCATTAGCAGCACCACCAGCAGCAGCACCACCAGCAATCACAGCAACAGCAACAGCAGCAGCCACAGTCACAGCAACAGCAACAGCAACAGCAACGACAGCAACAGCAGCAGCGGCCACAGTCTAAGTTTCAAGAGCAACGGCCGACATGTTGGCAACATAGTGACAACAGCAGCATCCACTAACACCACTGCAACTGGCATTGGCATAATCACAGTCGACCCCGCGCCCCGAAAGAGCCGACCGAAGCTATCCTCGCCTACGCGCCACGGCCCCCAGCAGTGTCAGGTGTGTGTTGGATTCTATACTTTAGTCGTTTACTTAAAGTCACCTATGTATGTCTATGACAAGCTGTTTTCATAATCCATACTATAGCAACAAATATTCGCATATATCTGTATATTATGTTTGGTACTAGTGTATACTGAATATATTTATATTCTGTTTTCAACAGGAAAACAAACTGAGCCAATTAATTATATCCATCTAGTTAGCGAGCATTTCCCAAAGCTTTTATATATTTTTATTGTTCTTTTTTTTTAAAGTCCCTTAATACAATGCAAAGATGCGCCTTTGTAGAAATTTCTAAATTAAAATGAAAAAAAAAAAAATTGTATCGTGCAGAATTATAACGAACCGATAATTATCGATATTATAATTGGCTTTTATGAACGCAAACCATTTTGCTGCTGCTGAAGCAACAGGAAGTGAACGTTCAAATAGAGTCTATGCAATGCCTATTCGTCCGTCCGCGTGTCCGTATGAACGCAAATCATTTCGCCGCTGTTGAAGAAAATCCACGAATAATGGGATTTTCGCGCCTAAAAACTGCCTTATACCCCTACGCTTCTTCTGATATGTCATATACTTACACAGGTATACTCTTGGCGACAGCTCAATATCTAAATAATATTATATAAAATATGCCTACTATATCTATATTTTAATAATTTAATTCTTGTGGATCTGTCGCCAATTATCATCAATCAATTCTTACCTCACTTTGTGGTTGTGGCATATTATCTGTAATTTCCCTTTTTTCTTCGATCAGTGAGTGATGTATCCTCATGTGGAGAGCTCCGTAATTAATAATTACCAGTCTTGAATGTCATTTTGAAGTGAACTCAGAGTATAATTCAAACTAGATGTTCGCGTTCCTATTTCACATTTCACTTAACATCCACTGACCATGAGCAATAATATAAAACATATACAAAATACTCTTGAAAATTTTCAGTATTTTGTATTTTATTATTTGAATATTATAATATTTAATGTTACTAGCCCATCAACCACAAACCTGTTAATTAAAACTTCACAAAGATTCAAGACACCACTCAAAATACGCATTTCCCACTCATCTCTGGTATATGCCTAATATGAAGCAAATATTTACATATAATTTAATGCCCATAATCCCGGGTCTTCATCTAACATTGACATAGCTGAGAAGATTAATGGCGCTGTCAAATGAGGTCTTACTCAGGCGACGCCTGCCCCTGTCTCGATCTATTTTATGAGCATAGGCGTAATGAACGTATGTGCTATTACTCATACGCAGCGTGGCACATGAGCACTTCCAAAAAGTCCGTGCGGGCAGCCGCAACGCTTTCATTAATGTGGACGGCACTAATTACATATAATTTTCCTTTTAATAGATTTGCAGCAAGATCTTTGGAAATGCCTCGGCACTAGCCAAGCACAAACTGACGCACAGCGACGAACGGAAATACATTTGTGCGCTCTGCTCGAAGGCATTCAAGCGGCAAGATCACTTGTAAGTTAATGAAGCGCCACATTGATCCACTGATCCACTAATCCACTTCTCCACTAACCCACACAGAAACGGACACATGATGACGCATCGGAACAAGAAGCCCTACGAATGCAAGGCGGAGGGCTGCGGCAAGTCCTATTGCGATGCTCGCTCCCTGCGCCGGCACTCGGAGAATCACCATGGAGGTGCGGCCACTCCCAACAACAACTCACTCTCGCCGACAACCAGCACCAACTGCGGCAGCGGCAGCAGTAGCAGCAGCGGCAGCGTAGGCGTGGCCACCAGCTCGCTCAGCCTGTCGCCGGCCACGGCGAGCGGCGATGCCAGCTCCCCGGACGGTGCCACCTGCATTCGCACCTACATTTCCACAGGCAGCACCGTGGTGGACGCAGCCACCGGCATTGCGCTCTCCGACGAGCAGATCAAGGCCATGAATCTGCCCATTAAAACTGGGGTCACGCTGCTCTCGCCCACCACATCGACATCGTCGAACGCATCGTCCACAGCCTCCTCGTCGTGCTCCGCATCGGGCAGCAACGCCAGTGGCAACGGCAACGGCAGCGGCAGCGGCAGCGGCAACAGCAGTGGCAATTCCAACGGAAATTCTGTCGTCACCAACTCACCCACAATTACGCTCAGCGATGGCACCACGCTCGAGGGCGATGGATTGACGCGCGAGCAACTGGATCTCATCAGCAAGATCATGCAGCAGACCAAGCAGACCAGTGCCCAGGTCACGGTCTCCTCCCCCACCAGCGTCAGCTCCTACAAGATCAATACAGAGACAACGCAAGTGTCCTCACGCCCACGCACCTGGAACATGCAATTGGTAAGCATCTGCGTGGACGAGATGAACCTGGTCTGATCACTCAATTCCCACTTTCAGCTCAATAATGCACAGAATGTGACTGTGACTGTGGAGGATGGCACCGAGCTGGCCGGCACGGCGTCAGGCTCACCCGACGAGCTCAAGGACGATGAGCTGAGCCAGCAGCTGGTGGCCGCCATTAATCCGCATCTGCTGAACATCGTCAAGATCGACAAGCCGGTCGAGTGCAATCTGTGCCATCGGAAGTTCAAGAATATACCCGCCCTCAATGGGCACATGCGCCTGCATGGCGGGTACTTCAAGAAGGACCCAGAAACGAAGCGCAGCGAGAAGAAGGACTCGAATGGGCCCCCGCTTCAGACCGCCAGCATAGGAGTGCGCGCTCTGATCGAGGAGAAAATCATCAGCAAGCGAAAGGACATAACCAAGGTAGGTCAATGACAGACCCCAGCTAGGCAATCCATATTAATGCCTCTCTCATAGGGCGCCTTTGTGGTGCCTGCACCACCGAGCACCTCGTGCGGCAGTGGTAGCGCTGGAGTCTGCAGCAGCAACAGCAACACCCTGCGACGCTCGATCAGCGACCTGGAGAGCCTTCTCAACCCCAAGTGCAGCAGCACCAGCCTGAGCCAGGCGCTCTCCACCAGCAGCAGCACCACCACAGCGGTGCTGCCCGCAGCAACCACAATCAAGAGCAGCAACGGGCTAAGCATACAACAGATTGGCCTGCCACAGAGCATCGAGATCTTCAGCGGAGGCCACAGGCAGCCAAAGACCCTCAGCTTGGGCAGTGGTGCCAACACCATCACCATAACCACCAACAACGTGCCTACCACAACCACAATGAGCGCCCTGACGGCACTGAAGGGCGGCGGCACCATCAACGGCCTCTCCAGCAACGTGGACCCCAAGGACTCGACATTGATTGAGCTGCTCAAGCGGGGCACGCGCATCGCCGTCGCCTCCAAGAAGACGCACATGCAGTCCCAGAACAGCACGAATCTCCTGCTGAGCAATGTGACGGGCACGGAGCTGACTACGATTGGCAGCACTCTCCAGACCACCGGGCGACAGATAATAACCAACAACAACCGCACCGTCATCATACCCTCGGATGTGCATGTGGTGTCCACTAAGAGCAAGCTCGTCTCCACCCAGGCAATCACGGCCAGCGACAGCAGCAAAATCAACAGTAGCAACAACAGCTGCAACAACAGCAGCAGCAGCAGCAATGCCACGTGCTCCTCCAGCAGCATCTCGTTGCCGGACGGCACTCCGCTCTCCGTGGCCATTGCGAACAGCCAGGAGAATCTGGGCGTCAGCGAGGCCAGCAGCATTACGAGCGGGGGCGGTGTTTACACAGTGACCTACACGAGCGATGCGGATGCATCGGACCTCTTCGACGACGCTGAGGTGTACAATGTCTCGGATACGGAAATGCTGCTCCAAACGGTGGACACTATGGAACTGCTCAATGATGAGGAGGATGGGGTGAACAAGGCGGAACATTCCGATGACTTTTCGCTGCTCAGCGAGGCCGGCGAGGCTGTGCACACGCAGCTGGTCAAGACGGAGCCGGGACTAACCAGCACAACGAGCAGCGTCAACAAGACGACGCCGTTGCCCACCTTCCAGCAATTCCATTCCAAGGAGATCATCATGCAGAACAGCTCGCAAATTCAGGCCATTGCCAACATGCGCAACGGCAGCAATCTCGGCGTGCTCTCCTCGCCCCTACATTCGCCCATAGCCTATCCGACGCCGCCGTCCAGCCACGAGAATATGGCACAGTCCTCGCCCTTCATAGAGGATGCTGCGGCTCAGTTTGTGGACGCCAGTCACACGTTCTTCGGCGACAAGACAGACTTCTCGCACGTCTACTTCAAGACAGACGGCGGCGACTCCCTGCAGCAGCTCACCGAGAACGACAACGAGAAGATACTCAAGCTGAAGACGGTGCTGGAGGAGAGCAGCTTCGACCCGTCCATTAAAGTGGAGGATCTGCTGAGCGGCACCGAGGATGATGCTGAGTGCGATCTCCGCGAGTTTGCCGAGACGAATCTGTCGTTCCTGGACGAGGATCAGGAGTTCCTGAACGACTCGCGCAACGCCACCTCCCCGCTATCCGAGTCCTTCTTCACCAGTGGCATTGGCTCTGCCGAGGACGTTAAGCAGGTGCTGCGCGAGGTGCTGCCCGAGGAGAATATCCAACTGCAGCTGAGCAGCGAGCAGCAGGGCGAGAACATCATTGATCTTTACTACTTGCCCGGCCTTGGTCTGCAGTCCCAAATGATGCCCAACTCCGATGATCCGCTGTTGTCCTCCTCGCCCCGCGAGTTCGGCCAGCAGCGCCAAGTGCTGCACGCAGCAACAGCTGCATCTACTACAAACGTGCAGCCCATGGAGCAGTTGCAGTCCACGTCTGTGCTTTACGAGCAGCAGCAGCAGCAGCAGCAACAGCAACAGCAGCAGCAGCAAGAACACTTGCAACTGCAATTGCAAATGCAACAGCAGCAGCAGCAGCAGCAGGAGCAGCAGCAACCACAAGAGCAGCAACAGCAGCAATTGGAGAGTCAGCAGCAACAATTGCAATTGCCACAACTGCCTGCAATTCAAAGCGAGCAACAACAGCAACAGCAGCAGCAGCAAACAGATTTTGTGCTCACCAACTTCTCGCCTGTGAACTGTCAATCCCAGTACATGGATACCAATCAGCAGCAGCAGCAGTCGATGATGCCGCAGCCCTTGAATAGCCTGCTGCAGCCGATGCTTTTTGGCAGCACTGGCGCTGGCAGCAACAAGCCCGCATTTAGCACGGCTCAGGCGACTGCACTGGATGCGAGCCTGCTCTTCGTCTGCGACGACTCCAAGAGCAACTGCAGCAAGCCCATGCTGCCCGCTTTGTCCGCAGCAGTTCCGACGCCCGTCGTCACTGCTGCCTCGAGCGTGGCCAATCTGCAGCCGTTGTCCAATCAGACGAATTCCATACTGAAGCGGCGCCTGCGCTCCAATGGGGCGCAGGATGTGCACAAGTTCTCGAAATTCCACACACTCTCGCCGCACCGCTCCAAGCTGCGCAAGCCCTCGCGGACCCACTACACGCCGGCCCCAATACTCAACCCCGATCGCAAGGGCACCGGGCTCTACTGCAACGTGCGCAAGCAGCTGGGCCAGGGTATGTTCGATGTGTTCGACGATGACTTTGGCGATCCCGTGGGCCTGGTGGACTTCTGCGATGAGTCCAAGGTGAATCTCGGGTCCACCTATCAAGCGCAGATCCCAGCCTGCAGGGCGCCAGAGGAGTCCCTCAAGGAGCCCATGTGCGCCGACCTCATGTGGGACCCCAGCGTCCAGCTGGACGACAAGATTCTGATGCGTTACATAGATCTCAGCAAGTCATCGGCCGTGCCCATGGGCAGCCATTCCGAGGAGGTGGCCCTACAGACGCTGCTCGACGCCAAGGGCAACTCGGCGGCAGCGGTGCTCGCTCTACTGCAGATGCAGTCCAGCGCATTCCAGATGAAGTGGACAGCCTACGAGCTGGAGCAGTTTCTACGCGGCCTCGAGAAACACGGCAAAGACTTTGGCAAAATCGCAAGTGAGGTGAGAATAAGGAAATTTGTTATGAAAAACAATTTTAGTCAAATCATATGAAAGGTTTTCCTCTTGAGGCATTATTAAAGGTGTTCTAATTAATTAATTACTTAATCAGTACTGGAAGCGACCTGCAGTATTTTAACTCTTAGAGCTCTAGCTGCAAGACTTTAGAAAATGTTTTTT